AGGATACACACTATTCCCTACCAGTAGTAGTAGTTAACTACAGTGCTAAACCTACGTTACTTAGTAAAAATTGGCTGCGTCACATAAAATTGGCATGGGGAGAGATCTTAAGTGTCTCTAATGAAAACCCAATCAGTGCAGAGGGTCAACTAAGTAATCTGCTGTCAAAGTGTCATGAATTATTTACCGACAGTTATGAGGGCATGAAGGGGCTTGAGGCACATATCACTATGAAAAGTAATGTAAAGCCTATCTTCGTGAAAGCACCTCGAGTCCCTTATGCTCTGAAGGTTCAAGTAGAGAAAGAGCTAGACAAACTTGAGACAAATGGGGTGATTAAGAAAACTGACAAGTCGAGTTGGGGAAGCTCAGTTGTGTTAGTGCCAAAGTCCGACAACACCGTGACAATTTGAGGAGATTATAAGGCGACCATTAATCAGTCTGTGGAAGATGAGCCATATGTCTTGCCCACTACCCAGGATTTGTATATTTCTCTTGTCGGTTCAAAGGTATTTAGCAAACTCGATTTATCACATGCGTACGCACAGCTGAATGTTGACAAAGAAAGTCAAGAGTATTTGACTATTAGCACCCACAAAGGTCTGTATTCCTATTTGAAACTACCTTATGGTGTCAAGTCATCCTCAAAAATATTTCAGGCAAAAATGGATCAGATTCTCCAGGGTAGTGAGAAATGTGTATGTAAGCAGGATACCATTTTGGTAGGTGGGAATGACTGGCAGAATCTTAGGATACTTGCAGAAGTTTTGGACAGGTTACACAAGTGCAATTTGCATTTGAAACTGTCCAAATATGAGTTTTTGAAACCTGAAGTGGTCTACTTAGGCCTAAAATCAGTGCGGTAGGTCTGCAACCAGTGGAAGAGAAAATCAATGCAGTAAAGAAAGTACTCACCCCTCGCAATGTAAGTGAACTAAGATCTTTCCTAGTCATGGTGCAATACTATCATTCTTTCATGCCAGGGCTAGCCACAATGCTGGCACCCTTGCATAAGCTTTTGCAAAAGGGCATGCAGGGGGAGTGGACATACGACTGCCAGAAAGCTTTTGAAGCCTGTAAGGAGGGCCTAACTGGTAATTCATTGTTAATCCACTATGACCTGAATCGGGAATTAAGGTTGGCCGGTGATGCATCAAGTTATGGCCTAGGAGCAGTGTTAAGTCATATTAAGGATGACGATCAAAAAAGGCCGATAGCCTATGCCTCCGGTACTCTAAGCTCAAGGGAAGAAATTATGCACTGATAGAACGCGAAGCTTTGTCCATTGTGTACCGGGTTAAAAAATTTCATCAGTTCCTATATGGACGAAAGGTTACACTAGTGACAGATCACCAGCCCTTGCTAGAATTGTTAGGCCCAAAAGCAGCCATTCCCACAATGGCGGCTGCCGGTATGCAGCGATGGGCCATTGTCCTTTCTGCATATGATTATCAAATTGAGTACAGAAGGTCAGAAAAACATAGTAATTTTGATGCACTCTCCCAGTTGCTCCATAAGGACTCAATGATAAGGTGTGAAAGTGAGATTTATAGTGTGAGCGCTATTGATGAGGACTTCCCAATAACAGAAAAGGATACTGGGAAGGCCACTGTGCTGGGGCCATTGCTTAGTAGAGTACTCGATTTTGTCATGACAGGATGGCCAGAAAAATGTGATGAAGAAGAACTAAAACCCTATCACATTAGTAGTCAGGAGCTTTCCTGTGAACAAAGCTGTGTTTTGTGGGGCTCTAGAGGGATTATTGCCCAAGTGTTTAGAGACAAAATGTTAAAAGAATTGCACTGAGAACATCCTAGCACCTGAGCAATGAAGGCCATAGCCCGCACACGTGTCTGGTGGCCAAAGATGGATGACGAAAACGAGAAGGAAGTGAAATTGTGTACAGTTTGCCAGAATGTAAGGAGTTCCCCACCCAGTGCTCCTTTGATACCTTGGAAGTGGGCTACCCGACCCTTCCAGCGCATTCAGATAGATCTTTGTCAAAAGGGGCCTCATCAATTTTCAGTCGTGATCGATAGTCATTCTAAATGGCTCGAGGTAAGACATATGTCCTCAACTACCACAGAGCGTACCGTTGGTGAGGTACGTCTCATATTTGCCCAGGCGGTGTTGGACACGGTCCGAAGAGCATCATGGGGAAAAAATAAAAAAAGGCTCATTTGCATCTGACCTTCGCTTTGTTCACATCTCTCGTTACGTCATAAAAATACCGGGAGAAATAGTGTGGTATGGGCATTACAGGTCTTCTTCCGCTTTTAAAGGACATAACATGCGATTTTCATTTGAGATCTTTGTCCGGAAAGGTGGCCGCAATCGACGTTTACAGCTGGCTTCACAAAACTGTTATTTTCTGTGTCGAAGAGATTAATTTGAGGATCGAAGCAACGCGGTACGTATCAACACTTCGTTCTTACATGTGCATAAAGTGCTTGACTTGAACGTAAGCTTCTCTTTAGCGCTCTTCTCACCTCAGATTTTTTTGTCAGGTACATTGACATGTGCATGAAGGATACTGATCTTCTCATCGAAAATAATGTGCAACCTATTCTGGTTTTCCAGAAGCTGGACAGCAAGGCAAATGTGGAATCCTCCTCCGCTAACTTGTTGTTGAGGACAACAGCAAGTTAGCGGAGGTTTTCTAGTCATTTTTTTCCGTATGAATTCAGTTTTATCTGTTCGTTATTTTTTGTATGATTTATTAGGAATCATGAAGAATCTCGCACAGAAGGTTTAACTCTTTGCGGACAAGGGCAGCAGGAAGAAGCCAAGGAACTATTCAAAAAGGAGGGCCTAAGGGTCGCCTCGATGACTTATATCTTACAAAAAAATATCATATTTTTAAAGACAAATAAAGAGGAAATGAAAGAAAGTATTCTGAGCTGATCATGTAGCGAAAGTATTCTAAGCTGGTTCGATCGTGAACGCGTGAGTATATTTATAATACTTAAGATACCGCGGAATGGAGTCACGATTCACGCACGTAGGTAAACTTCAAGTGGCATTTTGACCCGTAAAACGGCGGGGCCCGCTGGGGCCCGCCGACCATTTCAGATTCTTGAACAACAAAACTAATAGATTATGCTAAAAGTGGAGGTCAGGGATAGTTGAACACAGAGAAGATGTAGACTGAAAAGCATAAATAATGGCTCGTAACTAAACAAAGGGATATGCGCATGAAGAATTACAACGAACAATATCAATAGAAAACAAACATACATCATATTGTTTTAAGAACTGCAGCTTGCTACATCTGTGTACTCAAACTTTTCCAAAAAAATTATCGTAAATCACTTGATAAACGGCGAAAATCGAAGGAAATCGCAGACACTACCCGCACAAAGGTGAAAGAATCAGTCCGCCATCTGCAATGACGTGATTGGACAAAATTGGTCACGTGGACCGTGTCCAACACCGCCTGATATTTGCCCAACACGGCTTCCCGGAGGAAGTGGTATCGGATAATGGACCATAGTTTACTTCCAACGAATTTGCCGAATTTATGAGTAAAAATGGGATCAAACATACCCTAGTGCCACCCTGTCACCCTCAATCAAATGGGGCGGCCGAACGATCGGTCAGGGTGGTGAAGGACGCTTTAGTGTAAACAGGTTTTGGAAGGCAATAGGGCAAGGCCCATGGAACATAGACTAGCTGATTTACTCCTGAGATACGGCACAACTCCACACAGCACCACGGGTGCAACGCCTGCTGAGTTGTTAATGAAACGCCGTCTGCGTACTCGCTTAAGTCTTGTGAAACCTGACCTAGCCCAAGAGATTGAGAATAAACAGAGCAAACAGAAGCAATATAAGGATTTAAAAAGCATAAGGATAGGCAGTTTTCAGAAAATGACTTAGTTCGGGTAAGGAACACTCAAGCCAAAGGCAATATCGTGAGGTGGATCCTGGGAAGGGTAGTTAAGGCGTGTGGACCTAGAACTTAATAAGCGAAAACTGGACACAAGACTAGATACGTTCATGCTAATCATTTAATTAGGACTCATGATAAAGGGCAAAATAACGCTAGTGAAATTAAGATATCAGTTCCTGAGTTATGTGACAAGTCTGTTCCTGTTCTGGACACTGAATTAGTTTCTAATGATGTATCGCAGCCTACCAATGAGGAATCAGAACCTAGTCCTTGTAAAGAATCATCGCCAGTTATTTTGAGGAGATCGTTGAGAAAACCAGTTGACTAACTTAATCTGTAGCGTTTGCTGCTGTTTATGTTTCTGTACCGTTGTTGTTTGTATCTCTCGTATGGGGAGACGTAGTGTAATATCTTGAGTACCCTCTGAGAAAGCTGTCATTACCCACAATGCTATAAGAAATAACGTTGTCGTTGGAACCCGCCATGATGTGTGCTGCTTAGTGTCGAGTCACGCAGTTTGATTAGTATATTACACAGTCGAAAGCTTAAAATGAAATATGTGTAATATTCGTTTGGTATCCTTATTGACTTTTAATTAGCTGTTTACCACATACACTTACTTTTCGCGGGAACTGTTATTTTTGTTGGACGGTGGAATAAAACAAAAGGCAGCCACAAAAAACTCTACAAAAATTAAGATCCTGTTCTACATCCGTCGGTTTATAGCAAAAGTCAGAGTTCCATTCGTAGTCAAAAAAAGTATTGTAACGAAGTTGACCAGATTTAATTTTTCACCGTGGGAATCGTTCTTTTAGCTACTCAATAAAATTAAATTATCAAGCGAACACGTACAGTCTCTACTATCACTAAATTGTCGATTTCAATACTGCAGCAAGAACATGTGTTGTTCCTTCTTTGAGATAGCTGGTAAAGTTTGAAGCGAGGAAGAAAGGAGCAGAAATCGCTCATCGCTTGCACTACCTTTATTCTTGTGCAACAAAGACATAAAAAATAACTTGCAATTTTTTCAGTTCGCCGGGGTAGAAACGGAAGTTGAGTTGATATTTGCAACATGTGGGATTTTCGAGAAACCTGCTCTTTTCTCCCAAATGACCATTTGCCCATATCATCGTTCAAGTCTTGGAATCGGCTGGAGGGCAAGCTCCAAGTTGTGTTGCGTTCCTGAAAACGTATCAGGTCACAGTGAGAGAGGACCACTAAAAGCGGAGCGAGGACTTAGTTTACGTCAATCAACGAAGATATATGAAGTCACAAATGTTCTACTCCCTGTCGGATCTGGTAAGGTTTTAAATGTGTTCCGACCTAAGATAGACTGTAGAGTTGGGGGAAATTCCTGTTCCCTTCCTTTCAAAACGACCCCCCTCCTGACCCCCAGTGATAGGGGCTTTTTTGCTGTCGCATGCAAGCACGGAGGCAGGAGGTTACTTTCGTTACTTACTCACTCATGTGCAACGTCCAACATGTAATTGTTCACTTATATTCGGCTGGTTGCGCTAAACTAGTTAAATCAAAATGACGGTCCAGGCGGGTTATTGGTGTGGAAATGGATGGCGCTGGTATCTTGAATACTGTCAAGGACAAGAAACCAGGGTGCGTGCGGGCTGTTAAATTTTGTAGAGGCTTATTATAACCAGGGCATTTACTTTAATAGTGTATCCTGGTTTGATGTTAAAACAATCATTCCAACCTATTGACATTAATTTTACACCTGCCAGGAATCTGCGTTCGATGTCAAAAGTCTTTTGGAACACTGTTTGAAGGGTCACATCAGACAACACCAAAAGAGGTTGAAAGTATGACAGATTGTTTGAGAAAATTTAACTTGGTAAGAGTCTTTAGTAGTCTTTTGTGTTAAGGTGGCTACGAATAAGAATCATTTTAACTATTATTATTACTATAAATTTTTGTATAATTATATTTGCTTGATTACACTTCTTTGTTTACTAGGGCGATGAAACTGCATCCTCCAGCAATGTGACTGAAATCAAATCTCTTCCCGCTGATCCTATAACTTTAGGCGAGCAAGATAAAACTCAAGCAGCAGTCGTTACGTCCAAGCGCCAGAGTCTCTACCTACCTCCAGAAGATTCTGACTAGAGTGAAAAAAGCCCAGGCCCCTCTACTTATGTCCAGGGGCCTCAACAACAGCTGAATCGTTTTTTGAAACTTCGTGATGTCAGTCCGGTACGCACTGTTTTGTCAATTTCGTGGGAAAAAGCCAGTGAACGCACGAAACGCCGTTATTTACGAAAGGCAGAACAATCAATTTCAGCAGTGTTAGACGTCATTGCACCAGAAGCTTCAGGTGAATTGTTGACAGAATTAAGCAGTTGCCATATGCTTGGCGTTGGTAAGGAACCCGACGAACAGGTTCTCGAAAAAAGATAAAAAGAGTTAGAAGTTCTTGAAGCATTAGGCCGAAAGCTACTTAAATGCCCAGCACTGGAGTACCCGCAGGCAGATACTGTCGTTAATGGCAGACAAACTCTCTCTTAACGAGTTGACGACGATAATCAATTTCTTGAAATCCCTGAAGACTATGAAATAGATACAGAAAATTATCGCTATTCACAGGACGAAAATACAACTAACAGCAGAGGGAGGATTCTGATTGATCTTCGCACAGCTCTCAGTCTTAGGATCCTGAACGGCAGAGTGGTAGGTGATCTTACAGGGAAAAAAATATGCTTCAAATACAATGGGAGCAGTGTGGTAGATTATGTTATCATTTCCAGTAGAACTCTCAGATATGTTAATTACTTTATCGTCAACGATCTGGAACCCCACCTATCGGACCATTGTTCCCTTTCATTCGCATTAATGCTAAAACACAAAAAAAAGTGCTCCGAAAAAAGATCAGACGAGATCACGCTAGGCGAATTTAAGAAATTAGTCTGGGATGATAATGCGAAATACGAATTAAGCCGACTCTTAGGAAGTATAGAAACAAAAAACAGGCTAAACACAGTACTGAATAACAGTAACGTGGACACAATGACTGATCTATTCACACAAAACTTAATTGACGTATGCAAACAAGCAGGCTTGAGATTCAATAACAACACGAGGAAGCATAGTGAAAAACCATGGTTCGACGAGCAATGCAGCATAGAAAAAGAGAAACTACCCCAGAGCGTACCGTTGGTGAGCTACGTCTCAATCAAATCTTAAATCATTAGGTAGGCATATCTCACGAAACCCGAACGTGGAGGAATTGAATTTAAGACTACACAAGAAAAAAAAAGCTTTCAAACACCTGTGCAGAAAAAAGAGACGCCAACATTATAATCGGATAATTAAATGCATTGATCTCAGTAACTTAGGAAATTATTCAACCTGGGCAAATCCAAAAATATGCAAAAAAACACATCTGAGGACTTAGAGAAGTTTTACAGTTACGTCAAAAAGTTAAATGCACGAAAACAGCAAAACGAAGAGTACATACTAACAAGATCAGAGGCCTTGAGGCCCCTAGATTATGAAATATCTAAACAGGAAACGGTAACTGCTATCGACCTCTTAAAAACTGGAAAGGCCCCGGGAGTAGATAACATTTTATGCGAGCTGCTCAAACATGGCAAAGAGGCCTCAAAAGGGCCTCTCACAATCCTTTTCAATAAAATCCTAACCAGTGGTAGGTACCCTACCCTGTGGAGTCATGGCCTGATTATACCAATCTTCAAAAAAGATGATCCGTCCAACCCACAGAATTATAGAGGAATTACTCTCTTATCAGCCATGGGAAATATTTTTACCTCAATAATGAATAGCAGGCTTTGTGACTATCCGAAAAAAACATGGTACACAGGACAGTATCTTCATTTTAAAAGCACTAATAGACAAATATGTTAAATCTAAACCCAAGAAATCAAATAACCTTTTATTCACCTGCTTTGTTGACTTTAGTAAAGCATTCGATAGTGTCCCCAGAGGGAAACTGTTTCAAAAATTGAAACTAGCGGGAGTAACGGGGCGCTTCCGTGGGATTTTACATTCAATGTACTCCAATGATAAATCATCTGTGAAAATAGAAAATATGCTAACACCTGCCTTTCGATGCCATACAGGTGTAAAACAAGGTTGCATGCTCTCGCCAACCCTTTTTAACCTTTATCTCAGTGAACTTTCAGAGGAACTTAAGGCCAAGAACCTAAATGACGTAGAACTAAACGAGTTACCGTTAAGTTGTATGCTCTACGCGGATGACTTGGTCATATTCTCCAAATCAAAAAACGGACTGCAGGATTATTTGGATTCCCTCAGTGAATACTGCAAAGAAAACGACTTGTCGGTTAACCTTAACAAAACTAAGGTGTTAATTTTTAATAACTGCGGGAGAACCATGAATAAGCACGTATTATACTATAGAGGCAGTAAACTTGACAATGTTAGCAATTACAAATATCTTGGCCTACAATTTAATTCTTATGGGACCTTCACGTACGCTAAACAGGAAATAAAGAAGGTTGCCCTTAAAGGTTTGTACAAACTCAGGAAGGAAATGGGCGACCATTTCAGAGACGATATAGAGCTCACAATGAAAATTTAAATTTATTTCCCCAATACTCACCTACGGAAGCGAGGTCTGGGGGGTCGATCACGACGGAAAGCTAGAAAATGATCCAATTGAGTTTGTTCAAACAAAGTTCATTAGGTGGCTATTGGGAGTTAACAAATTCTGTAGCTCAAATGCGCGCAGATCGGAGGTAGGCTGTTTCCCAATGCGAACGAAGACAAAGTGCAGAGCCATTAAATATTGGCTGAAATTTTGTGAGCCGGATCACCAAAATAAACTCTCTGGAATAGCATTTACAGACCAAATTGGTCAAGATAAAAAGGAACTTTGGTCAAGCAAATTAAAACGACCATTAAATTTCGCAGGTCTCGGCGACATATGGTCAGCAAAAACGAACACCCCCGAAATCATGAACTATATACGACAGAGACTCTTAGACATAGAACAGCAAACATGGATTAGCCAAATACACAATGATGAACGAAAGGACCCGCATCAAAAAAACAAACTAAGAACTTTTAGGAAATTTAAACCTACCCATGACTACGAAAATTACCTCACAAATGTAAGAAACATCAATCACAGAGTAGCAATCACAAAGCTAAGATTGAGCAACCACAAACTAGCAATTGAAACTGGACGATACGTTAAACCCTATCAACCACTAGACCAAAGAATCTGTCCATTATGTAAAACTGGAATAGAAGACGAGGAGCATTTTTTGATGAATTGCTTAGCCCATAGGGATCCTAGGAGAGAGCTAATCAATACGCTAAAAAAGGAAACTAATCTTATTCTTGACTCTATGACTCCAAGCTCTGCCTTTGCAACTTTGTTAAGTTTGAAGCAAGGAGAGAAAACGCAAAAAAATGTGGCTAAATACGTATATGATCGCTTCCGCGAAAGAGATAGACGCGTTAAATATAACCTTGTTTAATAGTTGTATAAATTTTACAAATGTACACCTCTGTAATTATTGCACGAAAATCTTTGTTATCGTTGTAAACACACGTGTCTGTAGGCGCTCTGTTAATAATAAAGCAGTTATCCTATCCTATCCTATCCTATCCTACCAACAATCACAAGATATCGTTACAATATAGCAAGGCGACATCGGCTGTTACATGGGAGGGGTGCTCCAATTTCTGTTAACATTAATAACAGATTGAGAGTACACCATGCAAAGTTTGAGCATTTCATCTCCTTCATTACCAGCCCTCACATCATCCAGGATGTTCCTTTCGGTGACGAGATTATAAAATTGTCAACTGGAGAGGAAATAACAACTCCATATGTTATTTGAACTATGATTCCTGAGAGAATCGTCCAGCAATACCAGCAATGCTGTTCTGTACAGTGGCCCATACTGGACATCAACAATTTCTTTTCCGATTGAAATTTTTATCTCATTTGTTTGTTACGAAATTGGTATTGTGTAATCATTTAACACTACAACTCAGATATTTGCGTTAGAAATCCGAGTTGTCTAATTTCAAAATACACAAGTCGGATTTTTATCGAGTTGTTAATTTGTCAATTAAACAACTCGAATTTTTACCGCAAAAATACGAGTTGTTTAATCTTTAAAATACACAACTCGGATTTATAACGCAAAAATCCGAGTTGTTTAAATGACAAATCAACAACTCGGATTTGTGCGTTATAAATCCGAGTTGTGTATTTCAGAGATTAAACAACTCTGATTATTGCGGTAAAAATCTGAGTTGTTTAATTGAAAAATTAACAATTCGGATTTTTGCGTTAGAAATCCGAGTTGTGTACTTTAGAGATTGCACAGCTCGGATTTTTGCGGTAAAAATCCGAGTTGTGTAATTGAAAAATTAACAACTCGGATTTTTGCAGAAAAAAATCCGTTGTTTATTTGAAAAGACTTAACAACTCACATTTTGTGACAAACATTAAGATGAAAATTTCAACTGAAAAAAGAAATATTGTTGATGTCCTATAAGGGCCACGGTAGTTCTGAGACCAGCTTCACATGCCTGAGCAGGAGAACGCTACATAGGATCTTGAATGTATGTTCAGCTTCGACGCGGAAGTCTCTTCAGGGTCTTGACAACTTTTCAGCACAGGGCTCCCAAGCATTCGGTGACTTGGCAAAGCTTGTCGACAAGCTCGTTGAGTATGGCGAGCCTCCAATGGGGAGGCAGTATTAAGGAACTATTGCGATCAACAAAGCAATATCTAAAGGGCGATTATAAGGTAAACTGACATTTCGTACAAATGAATGAAAAAACTTATTGCATGTATACTCAAGTTCCGCAAAAAATTCATATTACGTCAACGTGAAATCCATAGTCAAGCAGCAAGATCGGTCTCATAACCCTCATTAGTCCGAAATTACAACAGAAACAGTCAAGCCTTAGCAAATACTATACGGACGCTGAAGCCCGAGGCATTGTCCCTTGAATTCAACGAAAATATAAGGGCTTTTTCATGAGTAACTGCATGCCTGATCTTACACTTCGACCTTACTATACTATGAGTACATATCATGCAATCCAAAAAATAGTTCCCGTAAACAAGAGAAGCTTACCTCATAGATACAGGGAAAACTCTTGCATGGTTTAAAACGCAAGGACGAATGTTGAGCTGTATCACTTTATTCTAAAATTATTTACGTAATAATATCCATCATGGTACCTTTTGTTCTCATTTTTAGTTTATCGACCATTAACCGAACATGTTTATTTAAATTCAATTTCTTGGAGCCGTTATAGTATTCTCCTTCACCATTTTCTCTTGTTGGCCCTCAGGATGGTAATTTCGTTAGCCGAAATGTTAGCCCTTTGCAGTTTTGCCAGACTGGCATTCAGTTTCTTTTTTAATTCTCAGATCAAGTGACGTATGGCATTAGCATCTCTGCATTAGAGGTCCGGCAAGAAAGAACCAGTCGCGCTGAGTGGACGTCTGCATTCAAGGGTTTTTGCTAAAACTAGCCTTGCAGTAAAATAGAACTACAATAAAAAGTTTAGTTTATGACTGGGTTAAAAGGCAATGGGCGCGCCGAGCTGAGACAAACTGACGGTTGTGCGTGCTTTGTTTTTAACAGGTGCATTCAGTTGAGGCCTCATTTGTTGCAGACCATTGTCGAATTTACGCCCTGAGTGATCCAACCAACGAAGAATACCGACGTACCTGGAACCATGTGCACAATGATTCGTGTCCACAGTGCTCTCAATTGCAAACCCTTTTGAGTACACTAGAGCGAAAGTGTTCTAGTGAACAACTTTCGGAGGACGATAGGGCTGAAATGCTTCATGTTTTTCGTTAAGCAAAAGAGGATATCTTAAGCTGGAAGGCCCATCAGCTTTGTTCTGTTCACCAAGCCGAGGCAAAACATTCTGTGCTTGAAAGTCTCGACCACCAATCAGTATTATTGGTTCAAGACTGGGCTATGAAATATATGCCGCGGAAATATCGAGAGGCACAGTCCGACCGGTTTGCAAAGCGTGGTTTGCCATGGCATATCACTGTAGCCATAAGAAGGTCCTAGGAGTCTGGAAAGACAGTGCAGCTGTAGCGTCCATAATGAGAGACGCAAGACAGTGCAGCTGTAGCGTCCATAATGAGAGACTGTCTGAGCACCCTTAAGAGAAAAACCGGAGCTTCAAAGAGCTTATTTCAAGCAAGATAATGCCGGCTGCTATCACAGTGACAGCACAGTCGTGTCAACTAAGCTTGCTGGTAACGTGGCTGGGGTGTCTGTTATACGAAATGACTTTTCAGATCCACAAGGTGGAAAAGGAGTGTGTGATCGTCTATCAATACGAAGGTTGTTGGACCCGATAGGAAGACTGTAATATCACTTGATATGGGACTCTACCAGCCGGCAAAGAAATTGCAAATGCAATGAAGAGATCTAGATCATCTGATCCTACGGCCAGGTGAGCTTCACATAGTTATGGCACAACTGAGAACGATCGGCGCTTTCATTGACAACAGCGGAATTGACTTATGCTGATCTGAGTCCGGGTTGTATGGTCCCTCAACAGTTAGGCAGATCATAGACGGCAATCATGTAAAGATAGGGGAGAACGCACATTTAATTACCCTACATGATTTATTTATTATGCACCAAGAAGGCTTGTTCGAGGGGGGACGCTGAATCATATCAGAGACTAGAGCAAGTAGCGATAGAGTTAAGTGACGCATGTGCAGGCGGAGAAAAGATCAGAGTGAACAAAGCAAGTGCTAAGATGCTAGAGACTATAGAGTCCTTAGGTATCCTAAAGAACATGGAAGCGTTCCAATGACAGACATGCTACAAATCCTATGTTCAGGGTAATGCGAGATTATATGCGCATGGTCGTCGAGATGATGGCTTTCATTAAGTCAGTTCGCACTGGAGATTGGGAGCTACACCTGACTAGTGTGGAGTTGTTCACTAAGTACTTTTTCTCCCACGACAGGTTAAATTATGCTCGCATGATACCAGTTTACCAAGCCGAGATGGTTTGACCAATTGCTGACCACCCTACGGAATTTTACTGATCCATTCAAAGAAGACGGTAACGAATTGATCAACTTGGTAACCAAAGTGATTATGCCTGAAAAAGTGAAAAATGATATTTGTGAGCGAGGTGAAATAGGAAAAAAACTTTTCGAAACCCTCGTTACCGATAGAATCAAGACGAACAAAGTGAACCTCTGGTCACCGATGAAGAGACGCAAACTACTTACATGGAAAGATAGCGAAAAGGTGCTTAAACTTTGTAAATTGTAAATTGTAAATATCTTATTATCCACTCCCCTCAGGGCTTTTCAGGGATAATTTACAACACTGGTTGGGGGACTTTGCCAGACTGCTTAAGGTGCAGTTTACAAGTAGTGAAGGAATGAGTAATGATGCCCCCATACATGAGTGTGAAAGTGAGATAGGCCACTACACCGGGCACTACGTGCCCTACTCTTTACGAAGAGTGTGTGGGTTCTTTAACGTCCCACATATTTAATACATGTGCAAGGGCTTGTGAGACGGGGCCTACGGTTTATCGTCCTTATCCGAGAAGACTAGAAAGTCTAGCCGTTTGCAGATATTATTACAAAGGCAGCACTTTCTCCTCGGTTATTTAAAGACCCTGAGTGTTGGTCCGGCCGGGGTTTGAACCCGCGACCTCCCGCTCAGTAGACCGGCGCTCTCCCGACTGAGCTAACCAGGCGGCGGTCAAAGATAAAGTCATCGAGTTAAAGGAGGACAGATCACTGTTTGAAGGCTGATGGCTGTATGCAAGAGCAGACCTGAAATAAATATAAAGGAAGTGATTGGCCAGTACGAGTTTTCTGTAGTTCCGAGATCTTTGTTTGCACCCGATGGTACAATGCTTCATTGTTCCGCAGAGAGCGCTTTGAAACTTGGTGGCGAATCAGAGCAAAGAACGACCACTGGTCCTCAGATTAGTGCGAATGAAAGTGTAAATATGGAACCTTCATCTCAGATGCGAGTTGCTGCTGCTGACGCCATGACAGAACTTCAATCTCTTGGCAAGCCGGATGTTGCGTTACATAAACCGGAACTGAGTGAGAACAATTTACGTCCATGTGATTTTGCTATATAATGCGTTTTCCTTCAAGTGTAGAACGGAATGTACTAGGTTTTCAACATGGATTTTATGAAGACGTTTTTAAGTTGGCGAGTTTCTCAACTCTATGTTTATACAAGGCTGGACAAATGAAAGTTTTCTGCAATTTGTCTTCGTTTATTTGACTGTCTTTTCGCTAGCTAAGGATTTCCATCTAATTTTGAATCATTTCGCAATTTCTAGCTTCAGATTACCACATTCCTACGTTCTAACGCGTTGTTTTAATAAATACAAATACTGAAAATCCAGCCTTTGCCGTGGTTTTGCTCCTTTGACCCATCGGCCCATCATCTGAAGATTTTGGTTTTAAACGTCGCTAGTGGGAATTTGGAGCCAACAAAATGGAAAAAGCCAAGAATGTTCGCCGAGTGGCTAAAGGGATCCTCACAAGGACGCTCAACGCCGGAAAAATGCCAAAGCCAAACGCCCCTCACAAGAAATTCGAGAAGCGTTGGAAGAAATTAAAGCCGCCTACACTGTTTTGGTATCAAAACACGAAGCCTTCACAATGTATCTAAACGATGAAGAATACGCAGAAGCCGAAACTTGGATGGTAAGTACATGACATTTTTAATGCTTGCTAATGATTACACAGATGACGCGAGTGAACACGAGGAACATGAAGTCACTGTGAATGATGAAAATAATGAAGCGCACAGTTTAGCTGACGTCGACGGTCACGAAAATGAAGATAATCATTCTGCCGAACTCGCGGTAGCCTCTGCGAAACCCTTCATTTTAAAACGAAAACGAAAAGCCTAAATTACCAAGTTTTCATGGTGACGTAAGGAAATACTTTATTTTTAGAGACGACTTCAAACACGCCGTCGAAAACCACTGTAATGCCAGAGATAGTATTGCAATACTTCGTTCGTGTTTAGGACTGGAGCGCGCCGAGTTCATAGAACGCATCAGCTCTGATTTAAAAGCTGCATGGAAATATTTAGATCAGAATTACGGAGATCGGAGAGTTATTTCTGACACAGTCACAGCTGACATGGAGTGATTTAAGCCAATACAGCCTAGTGAAGATCATCATTTCTGTGACCTGGTTAGGCACTCATTTAATATCCTTAAGGAAGTCAAGTGGCCACAGGACATCAATAACACACATAATATCCCTAATCGAAAGAAAAGTGACAAGAGATGATTTGAAAATTTGGGCCTGTCATAATAACAGCCAAAAGCTCGACACCCCATGCACAACCTTCTCAGCAGGATGGAAAACGAAATGACAGCTCGCCTATGTTCAGGCGCTACAAGACAAAAGGCCGGCGCATCACCCCACTCGACGGTGCATCTCATTGGCTCCAACAGCCCTGTCGAGGAACTTGAACGCGGACAAGTAAGCGGTGTCACCGAAGGACTGCACGACCGAAGAGGTAAGAAAAGCAAACGTCGTGTTACGTTTGTAAAGGGAATCATTATGTCGATCTATGTTCACGATTTCTTGCCATGACACCAGATAACGGTGGAAGTTCGTCAAAGAGCAACGGGGGTGTTTCCGGTGTCTGAAGCGTGGAAAAGGCCATACTTCGTCTAACTGCTCACGTAGGAAATTGTGCGGAAAGAAATGTCCTGATGGCTCTATATGTAGAAAGGCTCACCAAAAACTCCTTCATGAAGAAAGCCCAACTCCTCTGCAAGTTGCCTTTATCCAAGACAGCAGCAAAACGATTCTGCCTGTAATCTCTGGTTTCATGAAAGGAAAAGAAGGTGGTCTTATGGAAACTAATGTTTTCTATGATAATGGAGCTCAAATAAGTCTAATTCGAAGTGCATGCGCCGAGCAGTTAGGGCTAGATAACAAGCCTGTCAAGATTGTAATAACCAAAGTGGGTGGAGTTGAAGAAGACCTCGATACGAAAATGTACAAAGTGCCATTGTATGACGACAGCGGAAAGTCGATTCAGACGATTCAAGCCGTGGGTATTTCCCAGATATCAGAAGACTCGGTGGGAGTAAACATCAGGCGCATATCAAGGATTTTAGAAATGCCTGCGAGCAAGCTTCATCGTAAAGAATGTCCTATTGATCTCTTGATAGGGATCAATTACCCTCGTTTCCACATCGGAGAAACAAAAGTCAAAGATGGTCTGGTGGCCAGAAGAAGCCCTCTGGGGTGGGTCATCTTTGGGTCCAATTCAGACAACACTCTGCTAGAAGCCGAACAAGTCCTTTACGTCCGTCTATTCAAGCCTGTCGACCTCACGGAATTTTGGACAACTGAATCTATGGGCGTGTGTCGTACCATGCACATGTGAGGCGCCGAAATGTCCGTACAGGAAGACGCCGAGTTAAAGCTGATTGAATAGTCATGTGAATTAAAGGAAAATAAGTGGATCATGAAGTACCCGTGGAAGAGGGACCCAAGCTGTTTACCTAACAATTATGTACAAGTTCTAAAGAAGCTTGAGTCCATCGAGCGACGCCTTATGAAACAACCTGATCATGCCAACAGCTACAACGCACAGATAAAGGAAATGGAAGAAATGAAGTTGTCAGGGAAGATAACGGAACAAGAGAAGAAGGATTGGACGGGACCAGTACATTACATCGCTCACCACGCTGTTGTGCGCCCAGAAAAGAAACGTACACCGATCACGATCGTGTTCAACAGTTCAGCATCATATAAAGGCCACACCCTGAACGACTATTGGTGCAAGGGACCTAATCTTTTAAACAACCTGTT